TCCATAGTTGACTTTTCTGAGCCATAATGACATTCAGGGAAATATAGCTAGCATCTGTTTTGGGTTTAGAAAAACACAGCCGTGGGCTTGGCAGTTGGGTGTGGTTAACAGGGTTAACCCTCCTCAACAGAGGTGCAGGGGTTTTGGTTTCCTGCCTGGGGAATGGGGCCAACCCTTAGAACTCTCTTTCAAGGGGGCATTCACAATAGAGTGACTGTCCCATGTGTCATTTAGAAAGACACTTTACCAGCCTTCACTCTCTAATGGAGAACCAGGCCACATGCTTAAGAGAAAAAAACAAACAAACTCTGGAATGTGGAGATCAGGCAGTGAAATGGCTCTAGCAGCAAAGGAATGTGGAAGGGAAGAGAAAACCTGTGCCTCGATCTCTCGTCTCATGAAAACCTCAGCTTCCCAATTCTCCAGATTAGAGAAGAAAGGATTGATGGAGAGAGGGTTGGACTCCAGTCCTGGACCCATGACTGACTGGCCACAGGAGCTTGGGCAGAGCCTTAAACTTTTCTTGTCATTTGTCCATTTTTGTAAAGGAAAAAGCTGACTGGACATTTTCAGGTTTGACATTTTTGCAATTGAGTGCCATGACAGGTATTTTATGGGAGCTAAGAGAAATGGGAGAGTTCTGAAAAAATCAGGGAGGCAGTAATCTCAAAATCATCGGTACTAAAGAGGCAATGATACCCATGTGCACACAGGCTCGCTCCTGGCTCGTTTATTCAGGAGAACATCCAAAATAGCAGAGAAGTCCTATTCTTCCTCATTAGAGACCCCCAGATCTGTGGGTCCATAAGGGGAAGCAACTTCTTAGGTGGGGCTTTGGCCTTTGGGCTCTTGTCACAACACTGTGTTATTCTCTAGTGACAATGGCTCCTAAGTCTACGTTACTATAGTACCTACCTATCTGTGGCGAGGGAAGCCTAGTCATGAAATGCTCAATTGGAAACACCTGCTGAATGACAGTAGCAGCTAGGAGGAAGGATCACACAAGGATGTGTATCACACAAGGATGCCCTTCCATCAAGGGGCAATTGGGCATTCTACGTAATGTTGCCAACAATACACCTGTAACTTGGACTCCAATTGGAAGTGACTCCTCCCACAAAAAGCATCCTCTGCTGGGTTTTTTTTTTATTGTAACGTGACAACAGTCACACACCAGAGGCAAGCAATATATTCAGTTGTATGTGTTTAAGGAACACAGAAAAATAAAGCCCACAAATGTTAGGCATAGATATGGCTATTTAGAGATCGGCTACAATATAGCTAGATAAATAGCACATTCCCAGCAACCTAGAAGCCTCTCTGCCCCAGACCCAACCAATCCTCGACCACAGTGTAGCTACTGTTGCTACCACCATCATCATGGACGAACATTTTCTGTTTTTGATCTTCGTCTACATGGAATCATGTAGCATGCAATCATTGGGTCTGGTTTCTCTTATTCCATATTATGACTGTGAGCTGTATATATTAAGTCGCATGTAACAGTGGCTCATCATTTTTCATAGCCATTTAGTACCTCATTGTATGACTATACTACCATCTGTCCATTTTACTGTCATGGATATTTGGGCTGTTTCATTTGGGAACTGTAAGTAAAGGCTGGTAGGTACATTTTCTATTAAGGCAAAATTTATGGCATAAAAATTACCATTTTAAACTATGCCGATTAATGACTTTTAGTACATTACACAATGTTGTACACTCATTATATCTATTAAATTCCAATACATTTTCACTACTCCTATATCCCTTAAGCAGTCCCCCCTGCACCCTGCAACCCCCATTTTTTAGTTTGGCAATCACTAATCATTCTGCCTCTATAGAGGCCTATTCTGGACATATTCTATAAATGGAATCATACAATATGTGCTCTTTATATTTGGCTTCTTTTATTCAGCATAATGTTTAAAAGATTCATCCATGTCTTTTCCTTTTATGACTGAGTAATATTCATGGATAAACCACATTTTGTTTTTCCATTCATCCATTAATGAATATTTTAGTATTGTACTTTTTGACTAACATATACTTCTGCAATGAACATTCATGTACAAGTTTTTGTGTGACACATTTTCAATTTTGGGGGTGTATTTTTAGGGCTATGGACATAGCACTCATTTTCCTTGGCTATGTGTCCAGTAGCAGGATTGCTGAGTCACAAGTTCTAGGAGGTTTTGCCAAACCATTATGCAGAGTGGTTTACCAGTTACCAGCAATGTGTGAGAGCACTCACTAATCACTCCTAATTTCACTAAAGCTTGGAAGCTCTTCACATATTAGCAATCCTGGTGAGTATGTAGTGTTTTCATTATGTTTTAATTTACATTTCTATGAAGGCCACAGATGTTGATCACTTTTTCCTGTGCTTATTCACCATTTGGATGGTCTCTTTGAGGTACCTGCCTAGTCATGTCTTTCTCCCATTTTTCTGTTATTTCATCTGTTCCTTTCTTATTGCTTGTGGGAGATTTGTATATATGCTGTATACATGCCCTTTGATATATGCATTGAGAATAGTTTCTCCCATCCAAGATCTTATCTTCTCACTTTGGGTTGTGTGTGTGTGCGCGATTTTATTTATTTATTCATTTATTTGGTACTAGGAATTGAACCCAGAGGCATTTTACCACTGAGTCACATCCCTAGCCCTTTTTATTTTTTATTTTGAGACAGGGTTTCGTTAAGTTGCTTAGGGCCTTTCTAAGTTGCTGAGGCTGTCTTTGAACTTTTGATCCTCCTGCCTCAGTCTCCTGAGCTACAGGAATTATAGGCAAGTGTCATCACATCTGGCATTATATTTTAATTGACATAAAATCTACACAGAAGATAATGCACAGATTTAGGTATAATTCAATGTGGTTTCATAAATATAAACAAACATCCATGTAACCACCACTCAAATCAATATATAGAACATTTCCATCACTTCAGAAAGTGTACTCTGATCACCTTCTTGTCAATCCTCACCCCTGTAAGCAATCATTGTATTGACTTATGATACCATAGATGAGTTTTGCCTGTCAGTTAATATCAGTTAAATTGCACAGCATGCACTCTTTATCACTTTCTGGGACTTTAATATTTTCCACTGATCTATTTTTCAGGTCTCTAATGTGTCTTCCATTATGTTCAGTTTGCTACTAATGTTTATCCAATGAATTCTTAATTTCAAATATTGGATATTTTTATTCTAGAATGTTTGACTTTTAAAAATAGAATTCACTCTTCTGTTGAAATTCTCTATTTTAAAGTCCATTTTGCTAACATTTTCCTCTATTTTCTTTAACATAGCTAACTCAGGTATCTGGATCATTTGTTTGACAACTTTTATATTATGTTTTTTCTCTTAACTCTTGGTCACGCTTTCCTTCCTTTTGCATATCTAATAATTTTTATTGTGGGTAGAATGTTATGTTAAATTCATGGAGATCCTACATGACATGTCTCACCAGATATATGTTCCCTTTTCTCTATTAGGCAGGTTGAGTAAGGAGCTTATCACATTGATGCTTGAGTTAGGTCAGGCTGGGTTTTAGTTCTAGTAGGGTTTAGTCTAAATTTGGTCTGTTTCTGTTCCTAGGCATGACTGTCCTATATTTTGAATTGATAACATTATTGATCTGTCCCCTCAGCCCTGAAAGACTAGTAGATTTGTTTCTTCCTTTGGAGGGTTTGAGTAGCTCCTTGGCTGCCCTTTACCCCCTCCATGGCATCCACCCCCATTCATATAGCTTCAATGCTTGGGGAATCTTTTGAGGGGTATAATAGTGTGTTTGAGGCAAGCCCTCTTTTATTTTTTATTTTTTAAATGATTTAGCTATTTTCATTTTCTCACTAGTCTTTTAAGCATCACAAAATCATGAGAGATTTTGTTTTTTTAGAAGCCCTTTAGCTCTCCAGCCTCCCTTGCATAGCTCCAGAATTCAGATGGCCCATTTGAATTTCTAATCTATTTTGCAAGACTTTCTTTGACTGATAAAAGGTTTGCTTCTTTCTCCCTCTGCTCGGTCTGAGTTCAAAACCCATGATGGCCCTCAAACCAGACATTTCCAGAGAAACAAAGAGCTGGTGATTTTTGCTGCTGAAAAAATTTTACAAATGGATTTCAATGAAATTTTGGTGAATGGATCCTCTCACCAGTCTCAGTTTGCTCCCCCAAATTGGTTTTGCTATGTCTAACAGCGCTCTTACAAGAACAAGTGGTGATTGTTAATTTGCTTTGGAGCCCCCCAGGTCCCAACATGAAGAGTTCAATTTTATTCTTAATGCACTTATGTTTCGTCAATTTATTTAAAAATGTGATTTGTGTAATTTATCCAGGTTTTCCTAGTTGTCACAGTGGGAAAGTTCAGCTACCATGGCCTATTACATCCTTGGCAGTAGCAGAAGTTCAGACACCCAGCTTAAATGGAGTCAGGAAGGACCACAACTCAAGGAACACAGGGAAGGGAGAAGCTTACTAAGTATCTGAGCAGCAGTGTATTACAGTGAACCTTGGACACAGGAACCCCTCCAAAGCCACGTGGTGGATCTTGAAGTGAGGGCAAAAGTCAAGACACAAGCTTAATGACTTGATTCAAGAGATCTCACAACACAAACCATGCATCATGCAACCTAAGATGGGAACCAGAAAGTCTTCCCAAAGAATTCAGTCATGAATAAATATCCAACTATTTAGATCTGGTTTCCCAGTAAAATGTAAACTCTCAGAAAACAGGAATTTTGCCTTTCTTCTTCACCTTCAACATGATCACCTAAACACATCATAAAGCCTTCTATCTACTAGATCATTAATTAATAATTAATATTTGAAAAATTCTGGATTCACATGATAGAAATCACAGCCGACCCTCAGCCCTCAAGAGTTGGTTATAAATAATTGTGCTCATGTTAACTACAGAGTAAACATTACAGAATTATCACTTGAAAATCTTTTGTTGCTGTGATTTCCAGATGTTCTCAGTGTCCAGATATTCCAGCTGTCCATCTCTCAGAAATCCAGCTCTGTCTCACTATGGAGGCCACAACCTGTAATGGCTCAGTGGACAGAACCCCCGTCTTCTACCTGGTGGGCATCCCCTCTCTACCAGAGTTCTTCTTCCTCCCCATGTTCTTTATTTTCCTCCTATTCTACCTTCTCATTCTCACAGGTAATGCCCTGATTCTGGTGGCCGTGGTGGCAGAGCCAAGCCTTCACAAGCCCATGTACTTCTTTCTGATCAACCTCTCAGCCTTAGATATTCTTTTCACCACAACTACCGTCCCCAAGATGCTGTCCCTATTCCTGCTTGGGGACCACTTCCTCAGCTTTCCTTCCTGCTTACTGCAGATGTACCTCTTTCAAAGCTTTACATGCTCAGAAGCCTTCCTCCTGGTGGTCATGGCCTATGACCGCTACATGGCCATCTGCCACCCACTGCACTACCCCGTCCACATGACCCCACAGACTAATGCTGCACTGGCGGCCAGTGCCTGGCTCACTGCCCTCCTCCTGCCCGTCCCAGCGGTGGTGAAGACTTCCCAGATGGCATATAACAACATTGCCTACATCTATCATTGCTTCTGTGACCACTTTTCTCTAGTCCAGGCCTCCTGCTCCGACACCACCCCCCAGACCCTCATGGGCTTCTGCATCGCCATGGTGGTCTCCTTCCTCCCCCTTCTCCTGGTGCTTCTGTCCTACGCTCACATCCTGGCCTCGGTGCTTCGCATCAGCTCCCGAGAAGGACGTTCCAAGGCCTTCTCCACCTGCAGCTCCCACCTCCTGGTGGTGGGCACCTACTACTCGTCCATTGCCGTGGCCTATGTGGCCTACAGGGCTGACCTGCCCCTGGACTTCCACATCATGGGCAATGTGGCCTATGCTATTCTCACACCAATTCTTAACCCGCTCATTTATACCCTGAGAAATAAGGATGTCAAGGCTGCCATCATGAAAATTGCATATCTCAAAAACCAGGCAGGGACAGGGACATTTAACCTTTAAATGCAGCCAATTCTGCTCCCAGGACTCCAAATAATGGTGCTTAGCTTGGAGTGGAAACTCAATAAATATTGTTGAATGAATAAATTAATCATATAAAATAGTAAAATAAAATTCAACTGAGTAGACAGCTCCAAAAGTGATTTTCATACTTTGGTCCAGGGTTTTCTCCCTGGTACAATGGAATGATGTGAATGTGCACAGGAATCTGGAGTTGTATAAAATTTTCACTACTGAATAATTCAACAATAGTTTGCTGAAATAAAAAAAAAAAAAAATCTGCACGGCAGGGAAAAAAAAAACCCTTTATAAACAAAGTCAAAAAATAAAAGACATAGCCCAGGAAAAGAACAACTACTTATAATACATGAAGAGCTCTTCAAACTTTAGAAGAAAAAGTCTAATATTTCAATATAAAAATGGGCACAATGTGAATAGATAGATGACCAATGCCTGGCCTTCACACAATTAAAAGGTATTTCATCTACTATATAAAATGTATACAAACTAAAACTATTCCTCAATGCCGTATTTTACTTACTTAGAAAAGCAAAAACCTAAGATTTTGACAATATTCCTGGAAAAAGTAGATGTCTCATAAGTCTCTTGTGAGGATGAAAAATTAGTACAGTGCTACTATAAGTAGCCATCAAAGGTATTTATGCTCTCCCCTTTTATTCAGTAATCTCACTCTAGGAATCTGTCCCAAGGATTGACTGGCAATCATTCTTTAGCTTACACATTCATCAATAAGGGCCTGGTTGAATAAAATATAAAAATGTATAAAGCACATACATTTTCCTTTTTAGGAAAGGAAATGAGTCAGGAAAGGAAACAAGTAAGCTCTACATGTTGACATGGTGTCATTCTTAAGATATATTGTTAAGTAAGTAGAGGGAGCAGTTGGGCACAGTGGTGCATGGCTATAATCCCAGTGACTTGGGAGGTTGAGACAGGAGGATCGAAAGTTTGAGGCCAGCCAGGGTAGTGAGATCTTGTCTCAAAATAAAATAAAGTAAAAGCTGGGGATATAGCTCAGTGGTAGATCACCCTTAGGTTGAATCTCTATTAACACTACACCCACGCACACACACACACACAAAGCTACAAAACTGTGTTTTCACAAGAAAAAAAAATTTAAAACTTGCTTAAATTTTCAGAAAAAAAAGCTTTAAAAATATGATTCTATGTTATCCTCTCTTTTAGCTTATTATTGTTCTTTAGTGGTTGTCCTTGTGTTTATGATATACATTTTTAATTAATTACAACCTAACCTTTATGTGTAAAAGAAACTTGTACCAGTAGATCCCCCATTCTGTGTGCTGTCTCAAACCTTCTACTTTTATATATGTTCTAAACACACAGAACATTGCTACTTTTGCTTTTGACAGTCAGTCACCTTTTGAAGCAATTAAACAAAGAAATTAATTGCATTTTGCTTTAGTTTATTCCACTTGCACCACTGCTCCAATAAACCACTTATAAAACGGCCAGGGGAATTCAAAGATGAACTAGAAATTTATGCTATCAACTTTATTGAGGCAGACTTTATATGCAACATAAAGGACATCTCTTTAAGTGTAAAGTTTCCAAAAATCTTGACAAATGCATACAATGGCATAACCTCCATCCCTGTTGAGATAAGAGAATATTCCATCACCCTGGAGGGTTCCCCTGCATCCCTTCCTAGTCAGCCCTCCTACTCTGTCCCTTGGCAAACACTGATTTGTTTTTGGTAGTGGAGATCTGTTTTACACTCTCCAGGATTTCATATAAATGAAATGAACCTGGCTCCTGTTGTTTGCCACAGGGTTTTTTTACATTCACCTGTTTTATTGCTTGTGTGAATGGTTTGTTCTTTTCTACAATTGACAAATGCTTTTCCTTTTGCCTTATTGTTTCACTTTTTTCTTTCAAACTTTAAAATTTCTCTTTCTCTTATTGTTTTTTCTTATTGCACCAACTAAATTTTCCAGTACAATGTTGTGAAAGTGGTGAAAGCTGACATTCTTGCATTCTTATTCTTTATAGTAATCTTTCACTATGGTGTTAAACATTTTTTAAAAATTTTAATTTGTTATATATGACAACAATGCATTATAATTCGTATTACGCATATAGGGCACAATTTTTCATGCCTTTGGTTGTACACCAAGTAGAGTCATACACATACTTAAGACCTTCATGTCTTCATACATGTACTTAGGGTAATGACGACCATCACATTCCACCATCTTTCCTATCCCCATGCCCCCACCCTTACCCTCCCTCCCCTTTTCCCCTTTGCCCTATCTAGAGTTTATTTAATCCTCCCATCACCACCACCACCCCCACAGCTTATTATGGATCAGCATCCTTAAATCAGAGAAATCATTCAGCATTTGGTTTTTTGGGATTGGCTAATTTCACTTAGCATTATCTTCTCCAGCTCCATCCATTTACCTGCAAATGCCATGATTTTATTCTCTTTTAATGCTGAATAATATTCCATTGTGTATATATACCACATTTTCTTTATCCATTCATCTACTGAAGGTTGGTTCCATGGTTTTATAGAACAATTGGAAACTGAATATAAACAAACCACTTATAGGGGCTGAGGTTGTGGCTCAGTGGTAGAGTGCTCGCCTAGCACGTGCGAGGCACTGGGTTCACAGCACCACATAAAAATAAATAAATAAAAATAAAGGTATTAAATTTTTTTTTAAATACCACTTATAATAGCAACCAAAATTGCCGCAGTCCGGCTGCAGCAAAATAATCAGGGGGTGACGAGGAACTTGTGTAGATTGATACAGCAGGAGTGGGAGCCGTTTATTGTAGGACAGGAGGGGTATATATACATTCCATACAGCTTATCTTAATTAACATAAACTAGATACAGCAGTCAACCAATAAGGAATCTCCACACTTAATGGCTCGCTGGCGTTACTTCACAAACCACTCCCTCTGGCAAAATGCCAGGAGCCATCTTGACTTGTTTACAGACTCTAACACAAAATAGGAAATACTTAGGGATAAAGTTAGCAAAATATCTGCAATACACTACTAAAACTGCAAAACACGGCTAAAAGGAAGTGAAGAAACAGGTATAACCTTACTATAAAACTACAGTAATCAAGACAGTACATACTGTTGGCATAGGAAGAGAAATATAGATTTATAGGACAGAAGTTTATAAATTGTCCAATATTCACTGAAAAAAGAAATTCTTAACAAATGGTGTTATAGCAACTGATAGCCACTGTCATTCCCTCAATTGCCAATTCTGCAAATGCTGATGAAAAATAAACAGTGTGGGCATGGGACAACAAGCACCTTTTCCCAAAAAAATTCCTTTGCACCTTGTCAAGGCCCCCCACCTTTGCATACACAAACATAGCTCCTGAGATGGTCTCCTAAGGAGAAAGATTACAAATTTGTCCTGTGAGGGAGTTGGGAGCAAGTAGGATGTTTCAGATGGTCTAAAGAGTCAAGTGTCCTCAACTTTTCTTGCATATCCACATCCCGATGGCAGATTTGCAATCAAGGACTTAACATTGACCACAGAACACATCTTTGGGAAATGGTCTCAGGCTGCTGTTTGACAGCACACATGACCAGGTTCTGGATGGGGCATCCTTCCTGCTCCAGCGTTCCATGGCCAGTCCAGGTTCTTATTTGCTTCCAGTTGGCCAACCTTCCAGTTGGGAGATTTTTCAACCACACTCTGTGAGAAATAGTCAACCCTCACCTGTATGAGTACACTCTTTATTCACTTAAAATTATCCTAAGGCCACAAAAACTCTCAAAGTCTTGCCCTTCCTTGTTAGGAATGTGACTCTGGAGACTACAGGTGCTAGCCACATAGGTCACTTCACGACGCATCCTCTGAGCTCACTGGCATTCCATCCTCGGAGGTCCGCAGACTCCATCCCTGGCCACTCTATAAAAAGAGTCCCATGTCCTTCCCATCAGTTGGTATTATCAGTGTAAAAATTTTAGCCATTCTAATAAATGAGTAGTTGTAGTTCAACTGTGGTTTTATTTTGCACTTTTATGATGACTAATGATGTTGGGCATGTTTTCATGTGCCCATTAGTCATTCATATCTTGTTTTTATAGTATATGTTCAAATATTTTGCCTATTTAAAAGTGGATTATTTATTTTTAACTAATGAGTTGAAGTTCTCTATTTTATGAGTCTTCTGTTAGGTTTATACTATTTTTTCCCAGTTTTTGATTTCTCTTTTCATTTTCTTAATGATATCATTTGAAGGGTAGAATTTTTTAATTTTGATAACATCTAGTTCACCAATTTTTCCTTTATGTTTTATGTTTCTCATACCCTATTTAAGACATGTTTGCCTACCTCAAGTTTTCCAGATTTTCCTCTAGTTTTCTTCTAGATGTTTGGTAGCTTTGGGTTTAAACATTTAATCCATTCTGAGTTGATTTTTGTATATGGTGTGAGGTGAAGATCAAGTTTCACATCTTCCAGGTAGATATTTTGAAAATCATGTTGCTTATGTCCTCCCAACTTGTTATTATTTTTTTTTACTTTTATTTTTCAAAATCATTTTGGCTCTTTCAAGTCCTTTGTATTTCCATATAAATTTATAATCACTTCAGTTGCTACCAAAAATGCCTACTTGGACTTGATGGGAATTGCATCAAATACTGATTCCATAGAGCAATTTGGCATATTTGACATCTAAACAATGTTGAATCTTCTACTCTATAATCATGGCTTATCTTTCAATTATTTAATTCTTTATCTTTAAAATTTTCTTAACAATGTTTCATCATTTTGAGTACAGCCTTGCATATATTTTGTTAAATTTATCCCCAAATATTTTATGGTTTGCTATTGTAAATGATATCATTTTCATTTTTAATTGATATGTAATAATTATATATTAAAATTTTATTTCCAATAGTTTATTTTATATGTAGAAATAAAGTATATTTTGTATAATAATTTTGTATCCTGTTATCTTGCTAAACTCACATATTAATATTAGAAGCTATTTAGATCCTTTAGAATTT